ACTATGATTACTACCAACACAGATGAACTTTAATGGCAAATGTTTTATTGTTTTGAAATAGGTAGCAGCTACAAAACATTGATTCCATTCATGGCTGGCCGTAATGATTGAAGCATTTACCGATAGCTTTGATGCTGAAGGAGGTGTTTGATATAGTTTCAAACTATAGTTGATCATTTACGTGCGTTTCATTAAAATAAGATTATACAGTTTGCCTAAGAGAAACATCCCCATTGTATGCAAGCAGTTGGCCCTTTGATTTCAGTTTCAACAAAGACGTAATATGTTGTTATCTATACCGATATTGTCCAAGGTCTATCTAATGATGTTGTCTAATTTCCCACATGCAAATCAGCACATGTAACATAATGATTCGTCGATGAAGGTTAGACATCCAGGTAATACGATATGCCAAAAAACAGTTACTCAAGCAACTGGATATGATTTTGAAAACGTCAGACGTTTCAGCTAGCTATCCACTAGCTTTCGTCAGTGACTGAGAGACCAGAGGGGAAAGCAGGTTTATATACACAACCTGTTGATTGATATGCAAATAAAGTGAAGACAAATTTTTTGGAAGTCGAAAAAGGAACAAAAGTCAGACAAGTCAAGACAAGATGATGCAAATTAGTCTGAAAGCTCCTGTTATACAGGACAGGAGCTTAAGTGTTGTCTGTCCTCGGGGCTGGAAGTGCCAAATCCCAAGTGCCGGAAAGATCGACCCGTCTAAGAAAACCCAGAAGTGCAAACCATTGACCAACAAAAACAAGGCCAACATCACTATTCCGTATGTCCAAGGAGTATCTGAGAAACTCCGACGGATCTTCCAAAACTTCAACATAGCCACTAACTTCAAACCTCACTCAACCCTCAGACAAAGACTGGTACACCCTAAGGACCGACCTCACAAGGGCACCAAGGCGAATGTTATTTACAGACTCAAATGTGAGGAGCCCAATTGTAACAACACCTACATCGGAGAGACAAGTCGACCGCTTAAAGTAAGGTACAAAGAACATTGCCGACCTAGTGCCAACGGCTACTCCTCAGCTATTTTCCACCACCTACAACACAACCAGGGTCACTCTTTCAAACTCGAGTCCACGGATGTCTTAGACCGCGAAACACGCTGGTGGGAACGGGGTGTTAAAGAGGCAATATATGAAAGAATGTACAACCCACCTCAACAGGGAAGGGGGCTACGGGTCGATCTTTCCGGCACTTGGGATTTGGCACTCCCAGCCCCGAGGACAGACAACACTTAAGCTCCTGTCCTGTATAACAGGAGCTTTCAGACTAATTTGCATCATCTTGTCTTGAATTGTCTGACTTTTG